AAACCATTGGTCAATCAAGGTGATAAAACGAAGATATCATCAAAAAATAGCACACGGCCTAAAACATCAACACAGAGCGGATCATCAACGATCATTCGTAGTTCACCCAAACCATCATCATCTTCTACATTACCTCCACGATCATCGCCAAGTTCGATTCAAATTACAACATCGGTTGATCTTCGTGGAGAAAATGAAATTCTACGTAAACGCGTTCTTGAATTGGAAGCGGAAATATCAGAACTCAAACAAGAAACGATGCGTAAGTGTTTTTTCAAATCGTTTATCGTTTTTAACACACAAACTACAGCTCTCTGTGAACATATCGTTCGAAGTAGCAGCGTAGATAGAATAACGTTGCGAACTCGTTCAGTTTGGCCCGGGATTATAAGTTTCTCTCTAAAAAACTCACTGAGATCATTTCCACGTTGCACTATGCTTAATATCCTCGAAATGTTTTTTAAACAACATTTTTTCAGCATTTCTAAACAAAGAAGCGTATGGTTATTTAAAACGAGCATGTGCTTCGTATGGAAAACATGAAAATGTAAAATCAGGCACTGCACAAAAAGTAAGTCAAACTATTGTACAATTCTAATGAAAGAAACTGTTTATGGAACTATTCTTTCATTTAAGATAGCCGAACAATTACCATTGACAGTTGTTGAATTGAAAGAATGTTTAAATTCTCAATGGACTAAAACATCAAATAATTTATTACAAAATTGTTTTAAACATGTCGATTTGTCAACGTCAAATTATCAACTATTAGCAAAAATGAATTTAAAAATGTTAATGAACATCAAAGGTATTCGGATGATGTAAAATCTCTTTTCTTATTCCTAGTTGTATGTTGTTGCAATAGTTCAGCCCCTCTTTAACACATGTTTCTTCTCTGCTCAGATTATGTTACGGCTGTTCATCCAAGTGAAACAATTACACAATCGTCATTTAGTAAAACGGTATCTCTTAAATGTCGGCACATACGAGAAAAACAAGGAAAACAACAAAATGATCGAACACTCAAAGAACCACAAAAAAATACTAAATCAAAACGACAAAATAATCATGATGCTAACAAAGAAAATGAACAAGATGAAACAACCAGATGGAATAGAAGAATATGGAGACGATGATGAATAAGAACAAAGTGAAGAGATGGGAACTTAAACAATTTGTTACCGTTTAAAATCAAAGGTCATTTGTTGCTTTTTGTTGTCGCATTATGACTGTAAAAGGAGTATATGCTGTTTTCTTTTTGTCTTTACTACCCATTGTGTGATTTTATAGAGAGAATTTCTATTTTTGGTATATCACTCTTTCAAATGGAACTTAGTTGATTTTGCTTAGGTATTTTGACTTTCTCATTTAATTATGTTTGCACTTCTTTCTATTAGATCTTTTGGTCTAGTACTCTTTTTTTACCTATTTTCGTGATATGACTTGCTCTCAGGTGATTAAGAAACAGATAGTATTTGTACAAATTTGATTTTTTATGTTTTTCTCCAATTTTTTATGTTTTACCTATGTGTGTGTTGTGTTTCTCTTTTAGCTAGATCGAACTACTCGACTGGGAGTTTGATGTTTTTCTTCTTATTAGATCTGCTTGTTATGAAAAGAACATGTTATTTTTTTATATGTAATACAGTTTCTTGTTTTATTTTGTTTTGATCTGCTCTTTTTTTTGTGGATTTTCAAGGTTTGATTAGAAAAGATGTGTGTATTAGCTTTGATAGATAAACGAGTGAATATCGTACGTCTGCTTATATCTCGTTGCATTCACTTTTTGCTATTGGGATATTACCTAATGGAGAAGTTTTCTGTTCATAATGACTTTGACTATTAAATCTCATTGCTCATCGTGGGAATTGCTGCTAAACTCAGGGGTACTGCATACGATTTGTGTCTGGATGTGTATAAATGTTCGCACAAATCTCTTTCAGATGACATCTCGCAGATCATATTTTCGGTATAAAAGACGATTAGGTAAAAGTGTGATAAAAGGAATGGAAGCCCACCTATTTCCAACACAAATGGACCAAGGTAAAATCTGTGACAACAATTGTATCTGGTTTATTATATCTTTATTCTTTCTTAGATTGTACATCTGAAATGATTACTGATGATGAAAACGATCTCTCACAAAACGAAGAATTTGAAGATAAAAACGAACATATAGTGGTATTACGAAGTAAGGATGATCTCACTTGAAGCTTTAAGATCTTTTCTAGCATTATTTTCTGCCTTTCAGCTCAACCACCGTCGATAGAAGTTACAAATGATCCTGACAAATACGAAGCTACGAATAACGATAATTATGGTATATTTGCTATTTGAGTACTGTACTTTAGCCGGGAATATATCTTTTATTTTTATTTAGATATCGTACGTCGTTTGAAACCAACACGTAAGGATATATCAGCGACAACAATGATAATAAAGGTTCGTCGATCTCAAAACAATCGAGATATTGATCAATTATGCCGTTTTCTGAACTCGTTACAAGTGGATGATGCACCCAAAAGTATGCAAGCTGATCAAGAAAATTTACGTTGTCAAACTGATTTGAATATTAATTGTGAATCATATAAAATATGTTCGAAATGCGGGAAGACAAATCCAGTAAATACTAATGCATGTCGAGTATGTAAAACGAAACAAAATAAATTGGTTGAATTTTATTTATATCCCATTAAAAATCATATTCAACATTTATTATCAATGGATGGTGTTTATCAAACTCTACGGTCACAGCGTGAAAAAAACGTTCAAACATTTTCCGAAACAACATATGGTGAAATTTTAAAAGAAATCAGTGATGACTCGTTTACAATGATTATTAATGCCGATGGTGTCGTTACACCAAATAAAAACATCTCATTGTGGCCGTTCGTATTTATGATCAATGAAATGCCCGTACCTCAACGACAATATAGTGAAAACATTATTATTGGTGGTGTAATTCCAGCAAAAGAAAAACTGAACAATATTGTATTTCAATCATGTCTTGATATATTAGCAGAAGAATTATAGCAAGTCGAACATGGACAACAGTATTATATTAATGATTTAGATACTAGGAAAACGTTACATTTTTACACAATTGCAAGCTGTACCGATAAACCAGCTAAGCGCTCATGGAAAATGTGGTTGTATATAATGCTGAATATGGTTGCCCAAAATGTTTTGCAAGTGGTATGTACTATCACCTTATTGTTCAAAACTGGCCAAAGACGCTACTGGTACATTTTCTCTTGTTCCACAGGTAAAATACATGATGGTGAGCGTGGGTTTGGAAAGAAGAAGAAAACATTCAACATTAGAATATTCCCATACGAAGATTTTGAAGAACGAGTACAAGAAGAATGTTTAAAAACTGTCAAAGATATTGAGTTTAAGAAAAAAACATCACCTTATTATGGACATTACGGTATATGTTTTGATAATTGCTCATGCTTATTGATCGGAACACTCAATACTTCTGTTTATTTTTTAGGGCGGTGTCCGTTAACGAGACTTCGTTTTTTCAAATATGGTTCATCGTTCTTAACCGATTCGTTACATACAATCTATGGGGGAGTATTTAAAAAAATTTGTTTATTATTGTTTGATAACAAACATAAAAAAGATAAATGCTCTCAGTACAAAAAAGTTAAAGATATAGATGATTTATTACACACCGTACGAATACCATCAACAACATCTCGTCGTTATCGTACACTTGCTAAGATTAAAAAATTTAAAGCAAGCGGATATCGATGTCTATTTCATTTTGGTATTAGCACCATATTACAATTTATTAAAGATCCAATGTTAAAACAATTATTATTAACATTAATAACAGCTGTCAATTTAGCTTCTAGCGATGAAATAACAACTGAAAAAATTGACACAATCGAATTATTATGGAAATATTTCGTTCAACAATTCCAGCACATATTTGGTCCAAGATTTATGAGTAGCAATGTGCATTCAATTTTACATCTGCATAATACAGTGAAATTTATTGGTTCAATTTGGATGTGTTCGACGTTTAATTTTGAAGGGAAACAAGTGATCAAAATAGACCTAGCTACTTTTCATTTTCTTTTCTATAATTCCAGGTGTTGACAGAGATTTAATTGCAATGGTCCATGGAACAACAGAGTATGCAAAACAAATAATTAAATCATTAACATTATTTCGTGATGCCATAATAACAATTAGTGAGCCACGTTATCCATTACGTTTACGGCTTGGCCAGCTAACGGTACACCAGAGTGCGGAAGTATGAAGCGTTATATGAAGTGGTAAAACTAATCTTATGTGAAAGAGCACACTTTAAAGTGTAGGAAAATAATTTTCGTTTGCTTTTGTTAGTACCTGAGCACATGGTAAATATTCAATGAACATGTAATCGAAACAAACCATCCAGCAGTTTATTTTATGCACGCATCTACAGAAATATAGAAGAAAAAGCTTCTACAATAAACAGAACGAAAAAAAGATGAAATTCCGTAACGGAATGAAATTCCGTAGCGAC